CCCTAAACCCTGAACCCTAAACCCCAACTCGAATAAGGCGCGTAGTCGCCGCGCGCCATCAGCGACGTGGCCTTGGTCTCGAGCCGAACGGAGGGTTTAGCAACGAGGGTTTTCGGGTTCGGGGCTTAGGGTTTAGCGTGTTGGATGGGGGGGGGGTAGGGGGGGTAGGGGGGGGGGTACCCGGGCAGCTTTTCCATGGAGGGCCAGGCCACCCACACCGCATAAACTCACGGACCATAGGCGGTTTCGCACAGGACATAGGGGCCCTTTGGGAAAAACCCCGCCCTTTCCATCTGCCCCCCACCCCCCCCCACCCCTTCAAGCTGGCTTCAGCTCCTGTTTGGGACCCAACGTTTCACAGAGGCTCAAGCACATCAACTTTTTTGGATTATTTGAGCTGAGAGCGCGTTTAGACCTTTCAACTATGCTCCAGCGGGGTCGGCGGCTTGAGCCGGAGGCTCTTAAATTTGAGAGGAATCCGGAGAAGGGTCTATGTAGGGTTTAGGGGTTGGGGTTCAGGTCTTCTGGGGATCGGAATAAGGGTTCCTAGGGTTTAGGGTTTGGGGTTTCATCGTTTGGGGGGTTGCGGTTAGGGGTTTCGGGTGTATTTAGGGTTTGAAGGTCTGGGTATGTCTGGGTACCAAGGCTTGTGTGTGTTTAACGATCCAAGAGCCGTGGGGTCTTGGAGTTTTGGCTTGGGTTTAGGGTCCAAGGTTGAGGGTTTAGGGCTGAGTGTGTAGGGTTGGGTTGCAAACTGAGGGATGTAAGCTTGTAGGATTTGTGTGTTTGGGGGTCCGCGGTTTAGGGTTTTCGTTTTTGGAGTGTCTCATTTTTCCGAGGCGCATCGCAATCTTTCTCACAGAAGATGTCGTACTTCTCTACCGACGAGGTTCCTGCGATCACTCTCATGCCCGCAGCACTCCAAGCACACAAAAAAACAAACCAACCCCGGGATCTAAAAGTCTACAAATCTTATCTGCTTGGGGCTGTCACAACCCTGATACCTGAACCCGAGAACCTTGTGATTCTGAGCCCTAGTGGGTTTAGGGTTTAGGGCTTCGGGTTTAGGGTATAGCTAAACATGAACCCTGATGACTGCACCTACTTTAGTTCTAATTTGGAGCTCCTTGGAAGAACGTTCAGTTTGTTAATGATGCAACCTGGTGTTTTCAGGTCTTCTTCGGTTTAGTATTAGGCTTTAGGGCTTATTTGGGTTTAGGGTTTTTTGAGTTTTTGTTTTTCATTGTGTGGGGTCTTCTCATGGCATTGACATCCTACGCGTGCCTGCGCGTGAACTCATGTTTAGTAGCCGCGCGGCCTACGCGCGGAGTATGTTGTTGACGCGTGCCTACGCGGACCTACGCGGCAGGCCCTGGAACAAAGCGCAAACGCATTGTTTGACTTATTACATTTTAGCCACTGGCACATTCGGATTACTCAACCAATTTTTTGCCCAACCCAGTCCGATTTGTGATGTTGACGGATGGGCAAGGACGTTCTCAAAACGACACCCGCGACTATGCGCGCGCTATGCGGAGCCTACGCCGTGCCTACGCGGAATTCCTATGAATGTATACGTATATATATATCCGCCGACCCCAGCAACAGCGGGGCGGCGTCAGTGAAGACCCTCCCTGCCCTCACCGCAACCTCTTCCCCCTTCCCCTTCCCAACCATTCCACTCCACCTCTCCCCTCCCCCCCCCTCCCACTACCCTTCCCCTTCCCAACCATTCCACTCCATCCCCCTCCCCTACCCCTTCCCCATCCCTGCCCCCCCTCTCACCGTACCCCCAATCCACCCACCACCAACCCCTTCCCCACCCCTAACCCTCCCACCACCAACCCTCCATCCTCCTCCCCTACCCCTTCCCCACCCCCAATCCACCCTTCTCCAGCCACTCACCTCATCTCACTCCCACCACCAACCCCTTCCAAGGAAGGCCAGCAATGGCTCTATAGGGCCTACGCGAGCAGCCAGCAAACTTCAATTTGGATTCACCGCTCGGTTGTTTGTCCTGCTCCGGAACAGTAGGATTACAGTAGGAACAAGCGCAGGGGGTTCCCGGCAGACCAAGCCCAAGCGCCCCTCAAGAAGCGTTGGCCTTCTGCAAACATGTCTTGCAACATCTCGCGGCCCCTGTTTGAAATTTCTGTAGAAGAAGGAAGTGACTTGTTTAAACATGTAGTTCGCTGTGCTCAGCAGAGGGAAACTGACACGGCACAAGTACAACAATGTTATGTCGATCTTTCAAGTTCGCGCCCTGCAATGGCCTGAAATTCTACCGTGTGGGTGATCCTTGACGGTCGGCGCCCCAATTGAAAATTGGGGCAGCCTGACCTGGCGGCGGAATGCTGCTGGAAGGCTGCTCCTCATGTCCAAATAGGTACATCCAACTTGAAATACCTCTCAGTTGCTTCGTGCCGGATTCCCAGGATCTAGTTCCAACTGTTCAGACATGTTAAAGTGGTGCTTTCCAGCGCAACCCCTTAAGGGCCTTACAGAATCGGGGCAGCGTCCCTCTCGGCAGAATGCCGCTAGAAGACTATTCCTAATTCCCAAGATGCACATCCAATTTGATGGCAGCTCATTGAGGCGAGCTGCGGCGTGTGGATGTGCTCGGCTTTCCCTGGAGCAAAAGTCTTTCCAAGCACATCTGACACAGTGCCAAGATATCAAGCCGAAATTCGGACTCCAATGTTGCGCTTGATCCACTGAGTGGCAGACTTTTCCTTTCGAAAGCGACAGCAGGTGCGCCACTCTGCCTCGAATCCGAGAGGCAAGGGCCGGCACAAAATGACATCACCAAAGCCGTGGCTTCACATCTCAGATTGCCAGCTCTGAGGGATGGAGCTGCCCGGTCGGGATCCCCAGCATGTTATTCAACACCAACACAAAGAATGCAAATGGGGGACCAACACACACTGATTCTTGTAAACCTAGAGAAGCACAGACTAGTGAGGATAAATACAAGAAAAAAAGAAAACACTGCCACATGCAATGTGAGTAGGATTTGAGGTTTCGGAATGCACGTTCGTGATTCAAGGTTTTTCGGGCACAGGTCCAAACACATTTTCACCAAAACTTCTGACCAAATTGATTCTGCTTGCGTAGGGGCCGACCCTTTTTTGGGACTGAGCCTTGCAATCTTACTACGTAGCACTTTTCTGCTATTGAGCTCAAGGCGCCTACGGTAGGCAACATGTGAGAGAGCAAACAACCGCACGCTCTCTTAATTATTAAGGGGTGTTAGAAGAAACTCAGTAGTAGATCCTAGATGTATGAGATGTGACCCCGGCTGCACAACTAGAGTACAGGGATTGTCTCACGTTCGTGGCTTGTATGTCCTCTATAACAAGCGAATCTGCTGGCGCTACTGTACCATCGTAACTGATTGCACATATCATGGACTCTTCTGGCGATGACATGGTCATGGGCAGTGAGTAGCACTGACACACACATTTTCTGCGGCATCACCAACCTTAGCATTGTCGTTTTCGAAGATCGGTGTCTCGAGCATCGGTACCTCCATGGCTTGCTCGGGCGCCTTCGCCGAATTGCCATAGGACAATCCTTTCAAGATTGCGGCGCCAGGAAACTGGACCGGGGAGGTTTTCGTCGGCCTTGCCGTGCTCAGTGAACAAGGATGTCATTGGACACACGTCCCAATGTACTGCCATTCTTTCGTCGCTGATTCGCGAGTGTAAACATGGCCTACGCCACAAATCTTGGCCTTCGGGTCGTATCGACCGTGGTGATAGGTCACCTTCAGACGTGTTGTAGAACCCTACTGCACATCCTGATCCACAAAACCAAAAACTCTCATGTTCCAAGGTGGATTTGGGGGCCTAACTTCAGCTCACCGGCAGGCACGACTCTACCGCGTCCAAAGCCCAAAGCACCTCATCCCGTGTCGCAGAGCTTTCAGCAAAGAAGACTGGCCCTGTCTACATCCTCCACGACTTTGGTTGTGAAGTCCGGGATGCCTTCTGTCTCATCCGACCGAATCCCCCCGACCGCCCGCACAGGGTGGTCGGCAGTCACGGTCCTTGCGGTACGTATTGCCATTCGTAGGCAACCCGTCTTAAAGCAAGAGAGTCTCACGAACTGGGCCGCCCAGCATCTGCGCATCCGACAAGGCCACGCAGGACTTGCACTGCCCGGAGAGCACCCTCGGCCGGCAATCAGCGTGCGCCACGTGGCTAGGATGATGGCAGGCAACTTGCGGCCCCACGTACAGACGTCAACTTCCACCACCTTGAGATTCCCTGCACGACGAGCATCGCCTAAGCTATCAGCAAAAGCAGCCAGGCTAAGCTTTCAACAGCTGAACGCGCAGAGCTTTGTTGGTTCTCCAGCAGAAACTCAAATTCAAGGAAAGCAGGGAAGGAATGATGGCGTGCAGGCTTGAGAAGCTTCAGGGCATGAGGCGACCACTACGACATGAACAAGCACTCAACCTTGCATCAGAGGAGCAGAGGATCGTCTCGTGTCCTCCAAAAGGACCTTCCGCATGCACCTGAAGCACGTCAACAGTAAACCCACTCGCTTTGATAGATCTTCTGACTGTCCAGCGGTCCTTTGCCGACACGAACATGTCGTCGTGGCGAAGCCCGCTCTGCAGCAAACTCAGACTCAGCCTGGCAGGATCGGACGCGCTAGGGTTCGGGGGGGGATCCTCCTGTAACCCCAAGCTGAGCAACAAGAAGCAGACTTCACTCGCATTTCTATTCCAGTGCAGGCTGTGCAATCAGCTCGGGCGAGGGCTCGGCTCTGTCCAGCGCCTCGAAGTCGAACAGCCCTCGCCGGAACGAACGTTTCGGGGCGCAACGATGGCTGTGGCATGCTGCGGCTACCCCCATGTCTCGCCAAACTCCCGCGTGCGTCGCGGCATGTCGAGGCCCACGCTTTCATCGAGTGGCGTGAGAGTGTGGAGATTTACAGGCTCCTTTGCTTTGTGGGAAGCGACGCCGTAGATGAAGCTTGGCTCGGATGCACTTTCAAGGAGCCTCCTCTGCTGGGCGCAGCTTCTCCAACAGAGGTCCTGGAAGATCGCCGCAGATTGCAGGAAGTCTATCAGTCTGTTGAGCATGAGTGCAGGCTGCGCCTGTCTGATTGAAGCCAGGGCCTTCAACCTGAAATGCACAGAGTGAAGAAACTGAGTTTTCGCTCTCTCTCTTTCTCTCTCACACACTCTCTCTCTCTCTCTCTCTCTCTCTCTCTCTCTCTCTCTCTCTCTCTCTACTCAACGCATGCAGGGAATGCCAGTAGCCAGCCCGGTTTTTTTGCATCCAGCCTTGGAGCACGAAAATGAAGCTGAGATCCCACGGCGGTCGAGGTGGCAGGCAGCTCCTGGGAGCGCCGCTCAATCCACAGCCCACCGGCAGGACCCCGCCAGGTTCGTCCCGTGCTCCGGACCTCCAAGGTACATCGACCGTCGGAGAACGTCAGAAGTGCTTGTGACTGTGGCCGGCATCCCTTCGCCAGAGCCTTCGAACCAACTTTGCGACTCAGCTTCGTCACCTCTTTGTTGCACAGCTGTGTGGGTTCCACAACCTGCTGTAAGTACATCTGTCAACGCCAGGCCTTCGCACTGCTTGGGTCTTTGCTCGGCTTCTTGAAGAGCGCCCCTTGCAGCACGCGGTACTCCACGGGCTCTGGAGCCTCCGTGCTTCGGAGTTACTCTTGCCTTGTGAGCTTCTCGTCAGCAACTGAGCCCCTGGCAACTGCTTCACCGGCCAGAGAACTGGCGCACTGGCAACTGCGCGTCATCGCACTGACAACAGCAATGAATCCCGGCCCTGGACGCTCGAATGGCTGAACAGCAGTCAGAGTGGCAACATGCAACAACACATACACTGATCGAGAAGCCAGCGCGCAAAAAACATCGGCAAGCGTCGGATGACATTTTTCTCAGCTCGCATGTTGTTGCCGACTAAAGATTCCTGGGATGTACCAGACGAGTTCCGCTCCACTGGTCTCGCTGTCGCAGTATGCACGCTTGCAAGTTTGATGGTATGAACTTCAATCTGCGCAGTAAAACCTGATCGATGACCCGTTTGAGAATTTTGGGGGCGCTACGTAGGGAGGCGGAGTGTGTGATTTTCGCACATACCCGGAACGGTGATAGAAGCCTTAGGCAGGCTATGTATCCCAAACTTGGGAAGCCCCATGGCCCACGTGCCAAGAACGTGGATAGGCCCATATACCCCGGAAGCGGAAGATACACAAGAAGAAAGGAACGCGGGTAATCGGACCAAGAACCTGTGCCTTCCACCCCCCAACTCCCCAATCTCCCCCCCAATGGCTCCATGCCCTTGATGGTTTTGTGTGCCTACTGGATCATGGCCCCACAGTTTTACGGGCCTCTGGCCCAGACTCAATTAGATGACTGACTTTAAATAAGGGCTCCAGTGCATGCCCGCCCCCTCCGCCCGCTCCGCTTGCTCCGCCCTTCCCCCCCACCCCCACCCCCCCCCCCACCCCCCCCGTGCACCCCACCCACCTTCGAAAATTTGGGGTCGGCGGCACTGGCGGTAGCCATTAAATCGGGCAGCGCGAGGTCCCAAAGGACCGAGCAAATGCGGACCTTTTAGCCCGGGTCGTCCCGGGAATAGCCTTGCTGGCCTCTGGCCTTCTGCGAAGCAGAATTAGGCCGGACGCCAGTGCCGCCGACCCCCGCGTGCCGCCGGTGAACGGTTTTTTTTTCGTGGCTTTTTTGCGTCGCCACGGAGGCCCCCAGAGGGCGCGCATCATGAGCATCAGCGGGTCCAGCCCGGGACCCCCAGGCGCGCATCAGGAGCATCAGCGGCTCCCGGGGCGGGACCCCGGGGGCGCATCAGGAGCATGATGCCCCCCAAAGGGCGGGCATAAGCGACGTGTCTAAGCCCGGGGCTAGGAAAAAGGGAGTTTAGGGGCCTTATAAAGTGCTTAGAAACGTTAAGGGAGTCTAGGAGTCTCAAACGCTTAGAGATTTGAAGGGAGTTTAGGGGCCTGAAAATGCTTAGAAACTTAACGCTTAGAGATTTTAAGGGAGTTTAGGGGCCTCAACATGCTTAGAAACTGCTCGCCCCGGGCTTCTGCGTGCGCTGCCCGCCCATGGGCGCAGCCCCTTAAAATATATATACATTGTAAAAAAAGCTGCTCATTTGGGTTTAGGGTTAGAGTGTAGGCACCCTGAACCCTCAACAGGGTTTAGGGCTCATTTAGGACACGCCGCGAAAAAGGTCAGACACCTTCCTCATTATTCCTGTAGAATGCGGACATCCGAAGCCCTAAGCCCTAAGCCCTAAACCCCAAACGGATGCAAGCCCTCACATTCGCGCACTACCGCGAAGGTCCTGGGACGAGATAGGGCCCCACCGTGCCTAGCGGCTCCAGGGCTAACAGGGTTTAGGGTTTGGAGTTTAGGGTTTGGGGTTTAGGGTTTGGGGTTTAGGGTTTAGGGTTTGGGGTTTAGGGTTTTAGGCTTCCTTGGGAATCTTGAGGGTTTCTTGGGCTTCAATTGGTTTTTGCTGCGGGGTTCCCGAATATCTCAGACGACGGATTTTGGGAAGGGATGGGGGAGGGAGGCGGGAGGAGACCCCCAGATGCTTCGCTGCGAAACCCTTCACCATTCAGCTTCTGTAGGGTTTCGGCCTTTAGGGTTTAGGGTTAAGGCTTGGGAAGCCTCCCATGTTCCACGTTTCGAGGTACCCCGGCGGTGACCTGAATTTTCTGAGGGCAAAACCTGCCATCGAGAAGCGCTTCTCAATTTAACCATGGGGTCCCAGGCTCCAGAGACAAACTTATTCCTCTGAAATTCGGAAGCCCAAGACAGAGTTTGAAGAACAACTGTTGTTGGCTAAGTACAGTAGCTGACCTCATAAACCTAGATTAACCCTAAACCCTAAACTCTAGCCCTCAACCAAAAAGTTCCCTAAGCCCTAAAAAACCATCTTGCTAAACCCAAACTGCAGGCCCCGAGCGAGTTCTGGTCTATGGGCTGGGGTGTCCGATGCAGTGAGGGTTGAGGGCTAGGGCTTCGGGTGTCGGAGTTTAGGGTTTGCGGTTTCGGAGAAAAGGGTTTCGGAGAAAAGGGTTTAGGGGAGCTTACGGTTTAGGAGTTTAGGGTTTGGGGTTTCGGGTTTAGGAGTTTAGGGTTTAGGAGTTTAGGGCTTGGGCTGTGCTGCTTGGGGTGTGCATAAGGCTGACGACGCCCAGCAGCTTCGTTGGTAGGCCTTAGTTGCGTTGAGGCAGGCTAAAATCTGGCCTGGGAAGCCCTGTTGGGGTTGAGGGTTGAGGGCTTTAGGGTTTAGGGTTTAGGGTAAGGGTTTAGGGCTTAGGGCTTAGGGCTTAGGGCCTTGGGCTTAGGGTTTAGGGTAGAGGAACTCAAATTCCGTTTGGTATGTGGGATATTTGCAGGGCCCAAAAGGCCTTGGAAGTTGTGCTCCACACCACTGCAGGGGGGGGATTTGCCGGGCCCAAAAGGCCTTGGAAGTTGGGCCTCCACACCCACTGCAGGGGGGGGGGGGGGGGAGGGGGGCGGAGACGGCACGCGGGGGGGGGGGAGGGGGGATGGGGGGGGGGGGGAGGGAGGGGGGGGGAGGGGGAGGGGGGGGGGGGAGGGGGGGGGGGGAGGGGGGGGGAGGGGGGGGGAGGGGGGGGGGAGGGGGGAGCGGGGGGGGGAGGGGGGGGGGGGAGGGGGGGGGGAGGGGAAAGCGGGAGGGGGGGGGAGGGGGGAGGGGGGGGAGAGGGGGGGGGGGGGGGGAGGGGGGGGGGAGGGGGGGGGAGGGGGGGGGGGAGGGGGGGGGAGGGGGGGGGAGGGTGGGGGGGGAGGGGGGGGGAGGGGGGGGGGACGGGGGGGGGATGGGGGGGGGGGACGACGTTCGAAAGGCTGAGGGTTCAAAGGGGCAGAATTTGGGATGTTCCCCCCTATACTTTACCAGCGGTCCTTAGTAGGGATTTTCATAGGTGGGTACTAACATCCCTAGCAAGGACTGCTAGCATCCCAAGGTAGAATGAAAAATCGACCCACCGCCTCAACTCATCAGGTCATGAGACCTTACAAGAGTCGTCAGCCAACCTTCTCCCGTAGACTCCTAGTACACCTGCTCTCTCCAGAACTGATGATTTAGGTTTTGGGGCCCGAGACCTTGAACCCCAAAACCCAAACTTGGGATGTTCCCCCTTATACTGACAGTCCTTAATAGGGATGCATAGTGCCCCCAATTACAATCCCTATTAGGGACTGTTAGTATAAGGGGGAACATCCCAACCAAAAAACCTAAACCTAAACCCTAAACCCTAAACCCTAAACCCTAAACCCTAAACCCTAACACCTCATCCCACTTATTGACCCGAAAGAGTCCCCTAAAGGCACCGCCATGGTCGGCCCCGGGTGCGAGCTGACACGTCGACGACTTGATGGTGGCCGCGCCATCGCCTCGCCGTTGGAAGGTGAGGCCTCGGGCTGTTTGCATTTTGCTTATATATCTTTTGCTTATTGTATGTATATATATATATATATATATATATATATTTGTATTTATTTATTATTATTTTTTTTTTTTTTTTGGGGGGGGGGGGGTGGGTTTGGGGGCTTAGGGTTTAGGGGTTTCGGGTTCGGGGTTCAGTGAGGGTCTTCGGGCGTGTTAGCTGACGAAAGGTTTAAACGGCGTGGAGGGTTTAGGGTGCGTAAAAGCTATGGTTTAGCAGTTAGGGGTGTCCAAGGTTTTGGGGTTTCAGGGGTCAGGCTTGAGAAGTTTCTAGTGGTGTTCGGGTGAGGGTTTGATGGCTTAGGTCCTGGAGAGTTTGGGGTTCTTAGGGTGTGCTAGGGCTTTAGGGTTTAGGGTTTAGGGTTTAGGGTTTAGGGTTCAGGCTTTGGTGGGGATCATTTTCAGGCTCCTGTAGATGGGCGGCTGATCATCACTGCCAGCGTGTGGTCCGAGAAGAGGGTCACGACATCCTGAGAGGTGAGAAGGGCCTTTAATCCTAAACCCTATAAGCCCTAAGCCCTAAGCCCTAAGCCCTAAACCCTAAACCCTAAACCCTACACCCCTCAAAGCCCTCCCCCCCCCCCCCCCCCCGAAAACCAAAAGACTAGGCCCTCCTCCCATGCCTAAAACTCTGATTCCCTTACTTGCCTTCATCTCCGGGTTTTTGTAAGTTGAGGGTTGAGGGTTTAGGGTTTAGGGTTAGGGTTTAGGGTTCAGGGTTTAGGGTGTAGGGCTTAGGGTTTAGTGTTTAGGGTTTAGGGTTTCGGATTTAGGGTTTAGGGTTTAGGGTTTCAAGGCAGTCAGCCCGCCGACCTTCTGTCGGACTTACTGAACCCTGAGGGCCTCGTTTGGAGCATAGGGCTTTGGGGTTTAAGGGTTTAGGGTTTAGGGTTAGGGCTTGGGGTTTTGGGGTGTCTGGCTTTAGGCTTTCGGGCCCTTTCGAAAAGCCCCGAAGACCCTAAGGTCTCGTACAATAGGGTACTTAAACACCCTAAACCCTAAACCCTAAACCCTAAACCCGGAGGCTTGAGCCCAAGCAAGATGTCCCAAAACCACAGAAGCCCAGACCTTAAAAACCCCAAAGCCCAGAAACCCTAAACCCTAAACCCTAAACCTTAAAGCCTAAACCCTAAACCCTAACCCTAAACCCTAAACCCTAAACTCTGTAAACCTTAAAGCGGCAAGACAGGTAGCCGTGCAGATGCCAGCGGTGGTGAACCTTTTGGGTAGTAGGCTTTGATGGGTTGAGGGTTTAGGGTTTAGGGTTTAGGGTTTAGGGTTTAGGGTTGAGGGTTTAAGGTTTAGGGCTTCATAGGGCTTTGGGGTTTACAGTTCGAAGGGTGCCTTCTTGAACTTTCAGATTTTTTCAGTTGTGGATTTCGTTGGGGCCTTTTTGGGGTTCAGGGCTTTCGCTTTCTTGGGGCTGAGGCGGGGCCCAATGAGGCGTGAAGGCGGTTGTTGGCAACTAGGCTTTCCAGCTGGCCTAGGAGAGTGTCGCATGCTCTTACAAAGAGAGGGCATCTGTAGTAAGTAGACACATACTACATACGTATAGGCCCCCCCCCCCCCCCAAGTACTCCAGATAGTTTGGTAACGGGAATTGCTGCTTGCGGAAGGAGCCCTAGACTCCTAAATCCCTGAACATCAAACCCCGACACCCTAAGCCGGAACCCAACCCTAAACCCTAAACCGTCAACCCTAAGCCCTAAACCCTAAACCGTAAACCCTAAACCCTAAACCCCCTAGAGTCCCAACAAAAAGGCCCTAAATCTACACCAACATCGCCGCCAAAAGAGCTGGCCGTTGGCCGCCGTCTCCACCGTGTCATCGCTGCGGCAAGCACCGGTCAGGAAGTGCTGCATCCCTCAACGCGCCGTCAGTGATTTTTAAGGGTTTAGGGTTTATAGGGTTGGTTTAGGGTCCAAAAGGTTAAAGTCCCAAGAGCCAGCCAAGAGGAAAGCCAAGGCCGTCGGTGAATTCTTAAGGGCTTTCGGACTTTTAGGGTTTTCCAACTTGATGTTGGGGTCTTTTGGGGCTTTACGGGCTTTGGGTTTTTTTTAGGGTTTTCAGGGCATTTTGGGGGGTTTACGAGAAAAGGGGATCCTCAATATAGACCCCCAAATAGTAGGGTTCCCATATAATAAGGACCCCAACAAGATACCCCTAATTTCGGAAACCGCCATCTCGGGTTTTGTAGGGTTTCCCAATTTGATGTTTAGGTTTCAAAGGCTTTGTTTTTTCTTAAGGGTGTTCAGGGCTTAGAGTTTTTAGGGCTTGAGACGGGACATAGGCTCCAGCCTGACCTGAGCCCTAAGCAAGAACTGCCCTGGCCCAGGGCAAAAGCCCCCAAGCCCTGCGTTTTACCACCACTCACGGACACTGAACGCTCACTGGCCAAAAACGCCCGGACAAGGTGGGTAGCTATCGAATGTATTGGCTTTTTTCTTCCGGGTTTGGGCTGGGGTGGGCGGAAGCGGCGGTGCTCGGGGGTCAGGGCTGTTAGGGTTAGGGTTTGGGGGTCTAGGCTGTTAGGGTTTAGGGTGGGAATTTAGAGGCTCTGAAGCAAAAAATCAAGAGGATGAAGGTCTTGTCGGGGTGACAGGCACCTGGATCTTACAATGCGCGGCGTACCCTAAACCCCAACTCTATGCCCTACAAACTCCAAAGCCCTGAACTCCTAAACCCCCCAACTCTTGAACCCTGAACCCCTAAACCCCCAAACCCAACCCTAAGCCACCCTTTACGAAGCCCCTGAGAACCCTTAAGCTCTTAAACCCGAAACCCTCAACCCCTAAAGCCCCAAAACCCTACCTGTAACCCCAATGACCTGCAGCTTTATGGGTTCTACCTATTAAGTAAGGGGTAATTACCACTAAACTGCAGGTAATTGGGGTTTCAGGTATACCATCCCTCGAAATGGCCGAGTTGCGAGAGGCCGTCCAAGAGCCGCTTTCCGACTGCTTGTACGCGTACTCGACACCCGCCCTGGGACAGAACGTCGGGCTCTGAAGGGTTGAGGTAGGGTAGTTTAGGGTTTAGGTTTTGGGTTTTAGGGTTTAGGGTTTAGGGTTTATAGGGTTTGGGGATAGCAACAAAAACTTGGCTGGCCGGGATGTTGAAACGAGCAACACTAGATGCTTGTTTACAGAACCGTTATGAAAACGCATATGAAAACCAATACAACCCGGAAAACGCAACACAGAACCAATTCGAAACAAACACAAAAAAAGCATGCGCAGGCAAATGCACGCAGGAGGGGAGGGGAAGGGGAAAAGGGGAGGGGAGAAGGGGAGGGGAGAAGAGGAGGGGAGAAGAGGAGGGGAGAAGGGGAGGGTGTCAGGGTTGGCTTATTCCATATTTTGTGCATATCCCAGGAAGAATACAAAACACGATGAAAAAACATGGGAAATGGGAAAAATGCATGGCAATACGAAAAGAGTACAAATCCGGTTAGCTGGACATGTTTCCAAGCTACAACGGCCTACCCCTAATTGAACCTTGGGTAGCCCCGAAGGTCTGGTTGCCCAAATAGTATGTACTTGAGCCTTAAAGCGGTTGCTATAAAGCAGCTTTAGGGCCCAAATAAATACTATATGGGTACATGGACCCTACAGGAAGTGGTGTTCGAGTGGGATGTGTAGAAGACCATCTGCAAGAGCTCAGACATCATCTATTCGATGCATATTGGCCACATGAAGGCGCAGCCTATTGAGAAACTGCCCGAGCTAGAGAGACCCCAAGCCCAAACCCTAAAACCTAAACCCCAAGCCCCAAACAACAAACCCTGAACCCTAGCAACCCCCTTAGAAACAAGTTTCAAACGCCCTGAAAAGGTCGAGGGTCAGAAACTGCCCGGGCGCACAGCCGATCCTGAGCCTCAGTCCAGCTTAGGGTTTAGGGTTTTTAGGGTTTGGGGTTTAGGATTTAGGGCTTAGGGCGTACCTGTGACTCTGTTTGCCTTCAGAAACCATACTAGATAGGGTTTTTGGGCACCGAATTCCATAAGAGCACTCTAAATGCACCCTCTGGGCAAGAGCATAGCAGCATAGTGCGTTTGTATTCTTTTAGGGAGGGGTAAGAAGCTTAACCCCCAAGCCCTGAAGCCCGAAATAAACTCGAAACCCGAAGCTGAAGCCCCTAAACCCTAAACCCTAAACCCTAAACCCTAAACCCTAAACCCTAAGCCCTAAACCCTAAACCCTAAACCCTAAACCCTAAACCCTAAACCCTATAGGGCCATGCATGCAGGGTACTCCTCGGTTTCCATCTCGATCTGGGGTGTCTCTCTGGACGTCAAAGGACCCTGAGCAAGGCAGGGCAGGCAAAGGAGATTTAGGGCTCTAGTGGGCCGGTTTAGGGTTTAGGGTTTAGGGTTTAGGGTTTAGGGTTTAGGGTTTAGGGTTTAGGGTTCAGGGTTCAGGGTTCAGGGTTTTAGGGTTTCGGGTGAAAAGGTCTAGTTTGGGTTTTAGGGGATGAGTGGGCCGGTTGGGTTGGGTTAAGGGCGTAGGGTATTAGAGTCTATAGGGTGTAGGGAAACTTTACTGGTCAGTATGCTTTTGCGATGTTAGAGCTACTTCTACTACTAGTACAAGCAGATTTGATGCTGTGCGCATGTGCTTTTACGACAGGAGAGTCAGAATGCCTACACAACTTGTCATCTGGTGTCGCTGTTGTGTACGCGAATCTATTTTGAGCTACGTACACAACTCAAGGTGCACATGTAAGACAACCTGTCAGCGCATGCATGTTTGGAGTAATGTTGGACTGACTTTAGTATAAGGAGGGTCTATAATCACAAGTTTCGAAAATTTATTCTGCGAACCGAGTTTGTTCAGGGTACCCGCTATTATCACAATTTTTTTCCGGACGTTTTTTTTTTTTGTTCAGGGTTTGTGTTTTGGGTTAAGAGCTTTCGCAGTAAGGCTTGAAGCCCTGAGGGCTTGGGCTCCAGGAACCTTAAAGAGCCAGAGCGCGGAGAATCCAGAAATCTAAACCCGGCCAATCCCATGTAAAGCCTAATAGAAATTCATTACGAAACGAGGCCCCAAACAAATTTTGTGATAGGTAGCCCACGGGCCGGTCAGACTGTTTTTAGTAAGTTTGTCTGGCTACCCTCTATAATACCAAGTTTTTTTTGGATGATTTTTTTGAGGGTTTGTGTTTTGGGTTAAGAGCTTTCGCAGTAAGGCTTGAAGCCCTGAGGGCTTGGGCTCCAGGAACCTTAAAGAGCCAGAGCGCGGAGAATCCAGAAATCTAAACCCGGCCAATCCCATGTAAAGCCTAATGGAAATTCATTACGAAACGAGGCCCCAAACAAATTTTGTGATAGGTAGCCCACGGGCCGGTCAGACTGTTTTTTAGTAAGTTGTCTGGCTACCCTCTATAATACCAAGTTTTTTTTCGGATGATTTTTTTGAGGGTTTGTGTTTTGGGTTAAGAGCTTTCGCAGTAAGGCTTGAAGCCCTGAGGGCTTGGGTTCCAGGAACCTTAAAGAGCCAGAGCGCGGAGAATCCAGAAATCTAAACCCGGCCAATCCCATGTAAAGCCTAATGGAAATTCATTACGAAACGAGGCCCCAAACAAATTTTGTGATAGGTAGCCCACGGGCCGGTCAGACTGTTTTTAGTAAGTTTGTCTGGCTACCCTCTATAATACCAAGTTTTTTTCGGATGATTTTTTTTTGAGGGTTTGTGTTTTGGGTTAAGGGCTTACGCAGTAAGGCTTGAGGCCCCGAGGGCCTTGGGCTCCAGGAATCTTAAAGGCTGGAAAGCTTCAGGCCTTGAGGTCCTAAAGGCTTGAGGCCCTGAGGGCGGTTCCCCCCCCCCCCAATTTGTTTGGGGGGGTCGCCGGGCCACGCGTTTATAGAGGGTCCAAATTTGTTTGGGGGGGGGGGGGGGGGGCCCCATACTAAAGACAGTGCAACATTATTTGGGAGGGCGTCATCTGCCTAGCACTCCCACACATATGAACGACACCAGTTTAGAAGTTGCCAAGTAGTTTTCCTTGAGGATGAAGTTCTGCGTCAGGTAAGGCTTGGGGGTCTTGTTGATACTGTTTGCGCCCGCCATGTCAGGGCCCTAAGCCCCAAGCCCTAAACCTTAAACCCTACACCCTAAAACTTGCAATTTGGGGAAAGTCCACTCAAAGAAATCATTTTCTGACACCGTTGTTTGGTGGGGAAACGAACTACGAGCCTTTTCTACTGGTGTTGCAATGCCGAGTCGCTGCTTTGCGTAGGGCCTTTGCAAGGAACCCCTCCCTGACTAGGGCTAGGTGGGATAAGGTTTTGGGGTGTAGGGATAGGACCCCGGGACCCACTACGTACTTGCAGGAGCAATTAGCCATGATAGGCTGGACGCCGCTAGCAGGGATGCGCGCGCATTCACAATCGCAGCAGCAGTACTCCCTGGTGTGGACTGACATAAGTCTGCTCAAGGAAATGTTCTTGAATGATTGGTGGCTTAAAATTTTTCCGAAAATTTGCGAACAAGAAGGGTTAAACGATGCATCGGGCATTAGTGTTTCACATACCTTGTTTTTGCGAAAAGTTACACAGTCGGGTGTGTTACTAGTAATGCTTTGTTGTTTAGTGCAGCAAGGAAACATTTTGTGGGGCAGGGTCAGGTCATGTGCCCTTATTGCCAGGCATGGGACTCACAGCAACACCGGATGCTTGAATGCCCGCACTTCCAACCTCTTCTTGTCGTCTCTCACAAGGCCAGCTTTGCTCAGAGGACTCTGGGTCAGTCCGCCAGAGTGTGCTAAATTGCAGGAAGCACTGGAGGCATTGCCGCCGCCAGCACACAACGTGTTTTTTGAGGAGCACATTTGTTTGTTTACTGATGGGTCCACTTACGACAGCACGGGCGTTCCGCGTAGTGCGTGGGCAGTGGTGTGTACGCGAGAGGGTTCCCTTGACAATGCGATTGTTGAGTCAGCGTGCCTGTGTGGGAAGCAAAGCAATCCAAGAGCAGAGCTCACTGCAGTGCTGGTGGCGTTCCAACATGCGGTGACGGCAGACATTTACTCAGATGCCCTCGGGGTGGTCAGGGGTGTTCGTCGTTTGTTGAGGGAGGGGTGGCGATATAAGTACTGGGGAAAGCAGGTGAATCTTGATCTGTGGTGGTTGGTTTGGCAGCAGATTTTTTCCAAACCCGGGCCTTGGAAAATATTTCATGTGAAATCCCATTCGGACCATCGAATGGCTGTTGATCAATTTAGCAAGTGGACATTCTGGCATAACGCAGCTGCGGATGAAGCAGCCAAGGCTGCCCACTTGAAAAGAAGCGTGGAGTTGAACCAATGCTTTGAGCAGGCATCAGCCGCAGCTGCTTCCCAACGTCACGCCGCCGCTAAACTCTTTGCGTTCCATGAGGGAGTGGTGAAACAAGCTGGAGGTGATGAAAATCCCCAGGTGCTTTCCGTGGGTGGGTTAGGGTTTGGGGTGGGTGGAGATGGACAAATTGACCTTATCAGGGATTTGGGCGGCGTGCAAGTACAGACGTGTGTCCAACCTTTGCTGGAGTTCGACGATTGCTTGATGGGCCCGCGTTTCTGTGGGTACTGCAGAAGTTTTTCTTGTCTCAGTCATGGAAGCAAACACAGTCGCCTGTGTCAGTGCTGGAAATATATCTCGAATTTGTGGCGCAAACCGGCTGGATCGCACCAGCCAACACAGCTAGGATGGAGTCTGCGACATTGCCTCTACGCTATCGAAATAGCATCCCGTCTTCGTGGGTTCATGAATCGGAATACCCAGCTCTCAAGCTTTGTCGGCCTGCGCTCGGGAAGCAGGTAACCGTCTTTCTGCATGCGATTAAAGAACTGTTCAAGCGCACGCAAGCTGAGCATAGCGTTGTACAGGAAAAGGCCTTGAGTGTCATAGGTCTTTCAAGACGAGTGCCGGCTCTTTATATCTGTCCAATGACGATAGATGCACAGGCTATCCGGCTGAAGTCTGTTATTGGGAGTGACAAGTACGACTTAGTCGTTAAACGGCCGTACTCGCCTCCAGCTAATGTCTTTCAAAGTTGCCCTTTGCCAGTTGTGGATCCACAAGTTGTGTGGAATTTATACTGCCAACGCCACAGGCAGCGAAGGCGGTGATATCTTAGTTTTCTGCAGTCAATTGATAATTCACTTCTTCGCTAAGGATCTCTTGCGTTCTTCTCGCATGGGACGTCCGATGACATCTTGCATAAAACCCTAAAACCCTAAACCCTAAACCCCAAACCCTTCACCCGCCAAAAGCTCCTTTTTTCGCACTTCTTGCCCAGGAGCAGTGTTGTGCCAGTACTCGTAGGAGTTGGCATCGGGACCTGCGTCCCGAACCCTTATGGGCTCAAAAGAAGGGGCTGGGTTTAGGGTTTAGGGTTTAGGGTTTAGGGTTTAGGGTTTAGGGTTTAGGGTTTAGGGTTTAGGGTTTAGGGTTTAGGGTTTAGGGTTTAGGGTTTAGGGTTTAGGGTTTAGGGTTTAGGGCCAAAAAATCCCAAAGCAAGTCCTTTGCCCTGTGCTTCCTTTAGAATATTAGCAACCAGGGAGATGAGAACTCAAGCCACAAAGGTTGATACCCTAAACCCTTAGGGTTTTGGGCTTTGGGGCTTTGGGTTTAGAGTTCAGGGTTGTGTCTGCAGATTTCCCCCCCCCCTTCCCGCCCGACACACCCCGCCAAAGAAAAGCAATTCCAAGACCCTACACAGGGATGAAATTTGTTCGGGCGCAGGTGCTTGGCGGTGTAACAAACCCTAAACCCTAAACCCTAAAACCTAAACCCTAAACCCTAAACCCTCTAAAGTCAGCAGAAGCCACGCAAAACTTGCCAAGCTAGGGGCGGTCAGTGTCAACGCCACGGCTGGTGAGCAGACTCGGCGCTGGGAGTGGAGTGGCCCATGCTTCCTCGTTGAGGGTTTTCGGGAGCTGTGGGGGGTTTGGGGGTTTAGGGTTTAGGGTTTAGGGTTTAGGGTTTAGGGTGCCAAGGGGCTTTGTGGGTTGAGGATTTCAAGGCTCAGAGGTTGGGGCCTCCTACATCAAAAACCAAGGAGGACAAAGTGCTGGAAGCTTGGCACCAGGTAAGTCGGGACGAAAGTAACACTGTCACTACAGAGTCAAGTAGTCTGGTTTTTTGGTTTCAGAGCCTTGAGAAGCCTGATAATCACTAAACCACTAAAAACTGATCAAGAGCACGAATGGAGGCCCGCGAGCTAAGGGGTGCTGAGAAGTTTCAGTACCCTTTTCCTCATGACAAGAACCTTTCTTCCATAAACACTTCATGCTCCTTCATAGTGAAACCGCCAAAACACAAACACTGCAGCCCCCGCAAACCCAAAACAACTCAAATTGTGACGAAGATGAGCGTAACAACCGAAGCCCCTATTCGTCTAAACCAAACTACAAAGGTCTCAAGGAGCCAAGAGGCTGAAGTGCGAAGGAAGGGCAGCCAGACGCACGTCGCAAGAAACTCGAACTCATAGTCCGTCTGGCAACAAGATCATGAGATGGGTCATTTTTCCGCAAAAAAAGGAGTGGCCCGGAACATACGCCAAAGAGAGTTGAGCGGGTGCCACGAATATACCAAAGAGAGTTGAGTATGCAGGGCCACCCCCAGAAGGAGTATCCAAGGCCCGAACGTTGTAGCTCCTGTTTTCCCATGCTGTCGGTTTTGGGGGCTGCTGCCCCCGAACTCGATAGCCTGCAATCTTGCCCCCCCCCCACACACACACACACCATTTATTCGGCCAAGGCTGGGCTTTGCGGCAGAAGGCTTTGCCTTGGGTTGTTGGGGGCGGATGAAATACTTGCACCACATCTGATGGGAATCCTCTTCCCTCGGCTCGGAACATCTAGCGCTTCGGGGTTCAGGGTTTGGGGCGTCGGTGCCTTAGCCCTGAACTCCGGAACCTTAAACTTTGAAACCCTAAACCCTAAGCCCTAAACCCTAAACCCCTTCCCCCCCCCCCCCCCCCCCCCCCCCACACCTCGTTGCGCAAGAAGCCGCAGCCCTCCGCCTCGAGGCTTTACCGAGGCTTTCCGGGATGTAATGGGGGTTTGGGGGTTGCGGGGTTTAGAGTTTAGGGGTTTAGGGGTTTAGGGTTTAGGGATTTAGGGTTTTCGGGTTTAGGGTTTTGGGTTTGGGGGGGCTACAGGGTTTAGGGTTTAGGGTTTGGGTGCTGTAGGGTTGATGATAGGGTTTGGGGGTTGCAGGATTATAGTGTTTGGGAGATTTAGGTTGGGATGTTCCTCCTTATACTAGCAGTCCTTAATAGGGATTATTTTCATAGGGGGGGGGGGGTACGATAATAGCACAAGGCGGAACATCCCAAGATTCAAGTTTCAAGGGTTTGCTAGACGTTCCGAACATGCCGCCACATGGGACGTGTGTGTTTGTGCATAGCTTCAAGCTCCTTCCAAAGCACCCACATCCCGAAGTTGTCCTTAAGCCCTAAACCCTAAAACCTACACCACCACCCCCCCCCCCCCCCCCCCCCCCCCAAATTTCGAAGCTAGTCACCCTAACCCCTAAACCCTGAACCCTCAACCCTAAACCCTATGCTAATCGACGAAATCCTGCATCACCTTTCTATCGCAGACCATCCTTCTGAACCCCGAATCTGAATAGGGTTTAGGGTTTAGGGTTTCCCAGAACAGGTGCAAAAGGCATGTCCATGTGCGTGAACGACCCCAATCCTGCATCAGCCATACGTGTTCTCAATATTGGTTTTCCACAACATGCGCAAAAAAAGGAATGTGCGCGAAGGACCTAGATCCTGCATCAGCCATGCGTGCTGTCAAACCCTAAACCCTAAACCCTAAACCCTAAACCCTAAACCCTAAACCCTAAACCCTAAACCCTAAACCCTAAATCAAAGGGGCGTGGGAGTTTGGCCGGTTAACGTGCCATGCCCGTCTTGCACCGGGTCATGCACCATTTTGTCCATCCACCGTACCATTCGTGCATCTAAGCCCTGGGCGTTTTATGGTTTGTAGGTCTGGTTTAGGGCAGGGGTGGCCCTGAAGTCTAAACTGCGCGGTTTAGGGTGTAGGGTTTAGGGTTTAGGGTGTGGGGGGTTAAGATTTACACATCCCGAACCCACACATCAAAACCCAAACCGCATCATCGCCAGCGCCTCGGCATGGGACACATTGACGGGCCTCGCGATGAAGGCTTTCGGCTTATAACGTCTTCACCCGGCGAAGGGCGAAGGGACTGTGGGATGAGGAACTATTTAGGACGCACCGCAATTAAACCCCCTGAGCCTTCAACCCCGAAGGCCCTAGGGTTTAGGGTTTAGGGTTTAGGGTTTAGGGTTTGGGGTTTAGGGTTTAGGGTTTAGGGTTTAGGGTTGTAAACCAGTAAATCCATAAACCCCTAAACGCCTTAAACCTGAAGTTGAAGGCGCATAGTGGTCTACGGTTGAAGGGTCCGCCGCTGCATCGCTCAGCAGAGGGCTGCAGCACGCCTTGCTCCTAGAGAGCCCCACTTCAAACGCAGAGCAGCAATCTAGGGTTTTAGGGTTCAGGGGTTTAGGGTTTAAGGGTTTTAGGGTTTAGGGTTGAGGGCTTAGGGTTGAGGGTTTTCTGGGTTAAACGCTGTGAGGGTAGGGACCCTCAAAGGGATTCTCCTTGAGGAGGATTTGTGTAAGGGCCTGTATTGGAGCCACTTAGGTATGTAGGGATTCGAAGTCCTGATCCCCAAGGCTTAACTGCAGCAAGTGGCAGGAGATCGCTGTCGAACATGGTGTGCACCGATTTCAAGTCCTTCCCCAAAAGCAAAGGGCAGCAGAGTTGGGCGCAAGGCTTGTTCAGAGGGCTTTGAACAGGCTTTTCACGCCTTGCCTTCTGGTAGATTACTAGCCCCCAACATCTTACAGGGCTTGGATGGTTTGCTCTCTTGGGGCGCCCCCCCCCCCCGCCCTTCCCCTCAAAAGCCACAAAGAAAAACGAAGCGCCCTGAACCTGGTCCTGCCCAGGCTCCACGGCGATGCTGAGCAAAACCAACCTGATGGCTCACAAACCGTCACAAACCTTAAAAATCCAATAACCCCCCTAGACCCCAAACCCTGGCAGCAAGCAAACCCCGAAAGCCTAAACCCTGTAAGCCCACAAAGCCCTAAACCCTGAAACAACCATAAGGCCTAAACCCCATCCTACATACCAGGAATTCAAGCGGCCTTCGTGACTTTGGGGATTCAGGTTTAGAGCCCAAGGAGAAGCCATCAACCATCAACCCCTAAACCCTAAACCCTAAACCCTAAACTCATAAGGTGTAGCAAGGGAGGAGGGGAACCAGGGGGCTCCAAATATACAAGTCATACCTACATAGGGGTCTAAGGTCCATAAATAGTACCCGCGGCTGTGTTTGGCGCTCGCTGTTTAGGGTTTAGGGTTTAGGGTTTAGAGTTTAGGGTTTAGGGTTTAGGGTTTGGGGTTTGGGGTTTGGGGTTTGGGGTTTGGGGTTTGCGGTTTTGGGGTTTAAGCTTTGGGGTTTAGGTTTTGGGGTTTGGGGTTGAGGGTTAGAAACGCAGCTGTCAGACGTCGAAGCTCCTCCTGATGTTCCGGCGCCAGCATGCAACGCGGCTGGTTGGCAGAACACGAAGCTGCACCATGGGCGTTGCCGCTGTAAACAGCCTAAACCCTAGACCCTAAAAACCCTAAACCCTAAACCCTATAAACCCTATAAACCCTATAAACCCCTAAAACCCTACAAACCCACCGTCGGCTTATTGGGCTTAGACTTGTCTGCCGATCTCTTGGACTCCGAAGCCTCGTGTGGCAGAGTGAGCTGGACTTCCCCGATGCCTTTCGGAGCTTCTTCGGCGCTGACTTGGGCTTTTTCAGGGTTTAGGGTTTAGGGTTTAGGGTTTAGGGCTTAGGGCTTGGGGTTTGGGGTTTGGCGTTTAGGGTTGGAGCACCCTAAACCCTGAATTGGGAAGCCCTGCACCCTGAAAAAAGTCGGAAAGGGCCGTTCAACCTCCAGCCCGAAACCCCAAAGCGGAAGAGCCACTAGCCCTAAACCGTCAAAACACTCAATCCAGACCAAAACTCTGAAATCTCACACCGCCCTAAACCCTAAACCCAAAATCATAGAGCCCTAAGCCCTAAACCTCCCAGGATCCTAAAGAGACCCGAAGCACGAAACCCTAGACCCTGAACCCCCCAGTACCTGAGCCCCTGACGCCTAAGCCCTACCCCCTCAACCTCTAAGCCCGGAACCTCTGAATCCTAACCCTAAACCCTAAACCCTAAACCCTAAACCCTAAACCCTAAACCCTAAAACCTAAACCGTAAACAAACCCTAAACCCTAACACCTAGCCCTATACCCTCAACCTCTAAACTCTTTGTCCAGGATGCTGGGGCAAGGTGATGGAAGCCATGCGCGTGGCCTTCATATGGCTTCAGGGGTCCAACTTTGAGGCTGAGGGTTTAGGGTTTAGGGTTCAGGGCTCAGGGCTCAGGGCTTAGGGTTTAGGGTTAGGGGTTAGGGTTTAGGGGGTTTGAGGACACGACCTTAGGGGGTTGAGGGTTTTTTGGCTTTGGTTTTGACGACCTTAGGCTTAAAGTGCGTGAGGGGCTTAGGGATTAAGCTTCCCTAAACCCTAAACCCTAAACCCTAAACCCTAAACCCTAAACCCTAAACCCTAAACCAGGGATTAAGGGCTTGGTTTCAGCGAAAACGCTTGAGCTTTAAGGCTTCAGCCCACTAGAGCTGCTTCCTGCCTTCTTCGACAGCTCCGCCTGCATCTCCTCGACATTCCTGGGCGCAGCGGGGAGGGTTTAGGGTTTAGGGTTTAGGGTTTAGGGTTTAGGGTTTAGGGTTTAGGGTTTAGGGTTTGGGGTTTAGGGTTTAGGGTTTAGGGTTTAGGGTTTAGGGTTTAGGGTTTCGGGTTTCGGGTTTCGGGTTTAGGGCGTGGTGCTTGGAGGTTACATGGTACTTCGTAGCCCGATTAGAACTGTACTCACAACCCAAATATCCCTGAGGACAAAATGAATTAATTACTCCAAAGCGCCTTCGAGGCCAAATGCTCAATTTACTTAAACCTCTGGGGCCTTCCCACCCGGACGAAAGGACCCTGCTCCCGGAGAATTAAATATAACAACAGAACACAATTGTCGCACAAAACTGTCGTTCAACACGTTCGCACATAACTTTCGCTCAGCACTTTCACACTAACACTTTCGCTCAACACTTTCGCACGAAACTGTTGCTGAAAACAGTCGCACAAAACTTTCGCACCAAGCATTCGCACACAACGTTCGCACAAATAACTTTCGCTCAAAACTTTCGCACGAAACTTTCGCTCAAAACTTTCGCTCAAAGCGGTTGCACAAAACTTTCGCACAAAGCTTTCGCTCAAAGCTTTCGCTCAAAGCTTTCCACAAAGCCGAAGCTTCAAAACAAAAACAAAAACCCTCGCCCCTGAACCCTAATCCCTAAACCTGATACGCAGCTCAGTGTCTGAGTGGCGTCCCCGGCGGCGTTCATGTGTGACAGCCTCAGACGTGGTCAGAGTTGCACTGGAACGATCTACTTCTACACAGGGTTTAGGGTTGGGAGCCTAAGCAAATGCCCAAGCATGCAAGTCTGCCAGCGAATTCCGGAGGTGTCCAGGTCAGCTAGGACTCCTTTGATAGGGCGTTCGGGGTGTAGGGCTTTGGGCAGGTTGCAACAAGAAGAGAATAAGGGCTTACTCTGTGTCCGAGTCTCCCTCACCCTAAGTCCAAGCCCTATAAAGCTTAAATCCGAAATGTGGAGAATAAGGGCCTACTCCGGGCCCTACTTGTCGAGTTTAGGAAACGCCCCTGATTAGTAATGATCGCGAGGAACACCAGCACGTACATCTCGAAGTGGACCTCCACTTGCGGCTTAACTTTCAAAGACAAGGCGTGTAAGGTATCGGGTTTAGGGTTTAGGTTTGGATAATCTTCCTTCTACTAACACTCCGTAGAGTGGGAGTATGTTCGGGGGTACTCTAAACCCTATTAAGGACTGTTACTATACGGGGGAACAACCCAAGGTTTAGGGCTTAAAGCCAACTGTGTGTGGGCAGACAAGCTGAGATTATCTTCCAGGCCTTCGGGAAACTTTGGAGATTCGGACGCCTGGTTTAGGGTTTCCGGGCTGTCAGGATTTGGAGAAGGAAGCCGAACGCCTCCCTCGCACCACTTCCCTGAAAACCGGATTGAGGGTTTACAATATGGGGCGGAGGGCGGGGCATGAAAAGCATAAAACTGAGATTCCAAGAGCACTGAACAAAGCTTGAAACCCGTAAAACAACCCGAGAACGGAAAGAAGCAACGCCACTTCGGGGCTTCTCGGGTCTACAGTATAGGGGACTCCCAAAGAACTGCAGAGCCCTCCTCCCCCTGGAAGGCCCCCACGCCTTCATCAACTTCGCAAAGGTCGCACGGTCCTCCAAATCGAGGGCGTCTGCAGGCATGAGCACCTCTTAGGCGTTTGTAGGGTTTGGGGGCTTAGGCTTAGGCTTAAGGAATTCTTGGGGTTTGGGTTTACGGGGTCTAGGGGTCTAGGAGTCTAGGGTTTTGCACGGTAGACCTTTATGCTCTGTTTGGCGGCTGATTGCTGGCATCATGTTTTTCTAAATGTGTCAAGTTTTCAATTTTGTTTGAAGACGACGATTCTGAAGAATTTGTGCAGATTATACATGCGTATGAAAGAGAAGCCTTTCGGATATTATGTAATTAATATGCATATTTCAGAGAGTTGTTTTGATATCAAAAAGTAAGGTCTCGCTTATTGCAAACGATGTTTGATGTTTTCAATTCACACAGATACTCCCGAAGACTCTGGGAAGTATTTCCACAAACTGAAAATTTTACTACATGTAAATATTATATATGTAATCTTAGAGCCAGCTTTCTTGTGTTTGTTCATCATTGTTTCATCAAGGAAACAATGTAGACATTATTCATACTCAACAAATATAACTTACTTCATCAATATTCAGGATATTCGTTACGAATTAAAAAAAATAAACCTGCATCAAAACTTGAGGTCGTAACTAAGGATTTCCGAAATCAATTCAACTTTATTCAGAAAGATACTGGAGCCAGAAGCGCAGACTGCAGAGGTCGGAACAATAATCGAGCATACACGGAAGATGCGGCGGTACTGAGGGCATTTTCGGGGAGAAACCCTTAACCCTGAAGCAAAACCCTAAAGGCGCTGAAGGGAGTTAAAAAAAAGACCAACCCCCTTGATGATGGGAACATGAAGCCCTGAACCCACCCCTAAAGCCCTAAACTCTACACTTGGCTTATCTGGCCTGGCCTTTATGAGCGAGGGACAAAGTCACTTTACAGAGTGCGAGGTCGCGGAGTACCATCTCATCGCTTTACATGCGTCTGAATGCGCAGACTAATGTTATCGCTTCGGTTTAGAGTTTAGGGTTTAGGGTTTAGGGTTTAGGGTTTAGGGTTCAGGGTTTAGGGTGACACCCGTATCGCTTTCCATGGTTTACTGATGTTCGCAACAACTCGTGTCCACTGTAGCACTGGCTTAGACAAACATAATTTAGGCAGGCGCTCATATATATAGGGTCCCACATGAACCCAAAAAGGAAAGCTCAAAATATACCAAACCAACTACCCCGCCTCTATCCCCCAAGGTTCCCCCCCATAATTGAGGCAATTTAGGGATAATTGAGCCCAAATAAGGCTTTTTAAGAGGGGCAACCAAGGGGGGGGATAGTATAGAGGGGGGCAGTAGGGAAACCCATGACAAAAGCCAACCTAGTTACTACTATTTGCCTAAGAAACCCCAAAAAAGGAAAAACATAATCCACCTTATTACCCTTATAGGGAAGAATCCTTTTGTGTTTTTTGGGGGTTCTTAAGCACCCTAAGCCCCAAACCCCAAACCCCAAACCCTAAACCCCAAACCCTAAACCCCAAACCCTAAACCCCAAACCCTAAACCCCAAACCCTACCAACCCTGCTATAGAGCCCTAGAGCCTCGATGCACATGGCCAAGTCATGCTCGATGATGGCCTCGGAGCTCCGGGGCAGCGCAGGGCTAACCGGGAGAATGGTGGGTTTAGGGTTTAGGGTTTGGGGTTTGGGGTTTGGGGTTTGGGGTTTAGGGTTTAGGGTTTAGGGTTTAGGGTTTAGGGTTTAGGGGGTCTCTCACCGGGCTTTCGAAGGCTTCCGAAGGGCTCCTGCGCGGCGTTAGAAACTCTGGGGCTTAGTAGGGTTTACTCGGGTTCGGAAGTTTAGGGTTTAGGGTTTAGGGTTTAGGGTTTAGGGTGGTAAACCCTGCACACGAAACCCTGGCCGTGGGGTAAACAACAATCGGGCTTTGGGAGTTTCGGGACTTCATGGCCTTATCTGGCGATTCAGATGTGGATGTAGGGCTTCGGATCTGGGGCTTAGCAGGCTGCGCAGGGTTTGCGGTTTCGGGTGGAGGGTTCATAAGACCCCAGACTGCAGCACACGGCCCCTGCACCCTGAACCCTACACCCGAAACCCTACGCCCGAAACCCTAAACCCTAAACCCTAGGCCCTAAGCCCTAAACCCTAAACCCTAAACCCCAAACACCTCCCCCAGATCCCTGCGCTGAGAGGTGCACCCAGCGGTTGAAGCTGGTGACCTGCTTCATGGTCGACCACAGCCTTATTCAGTTCAGGGTTTAGGCTTTAGGCTTTAGGGTTTAGGGTTTAGGGTTTAGGGTTTAGGGTTTGGGGTTTAGGGTTTAGGGTTTAGGGTTTAGGGTTTAGGGTTTAGGGTACCCTAAGCCCTAGACCCTAAACCCTAAACCCTAAACCCTAAACCCTAAACCGAGCCGGGATAAATCGGATTCCGAGGGGCAGCGCGCTGTCCTTGCTCGCCCCGTGCTCGCTCATGGCAGTCATGCTGCCTGGGCTCCCGGTTTAGGGTTTAGGGTTTAGTGTTTAGGGTTTAGGGCCATAAACCCTACCTTAAACGCATAGTTACTCAAAATAAGAGGCTACGATGGCCCCAACATAGGAAACTGTAGCCGATAATTATAGTCTACTGGCTTTCAATTTCAAGGTAAACGCTGAACCATAAAGCTGATTCCAACTTAAGCAATAAATGAAACCATCAGCCCAAAAAACCCTAAGCCCTTACTGTAAACCCTGTGCCCCTATAAAACCCCCAGGCTACGAACCTCAAACCCCTAAACCCTACTGCTTGCACAAAGACCAAAAACTCCGACGAAGCCTAAGCCCCACAAAGCCCCCCGCATGACCACTAAAGACACCAAAAAGCCGCTGAAACCACCAAACAACCCCCCAAAGCGCCCCTAAAGCCCGCAAACTTCCAAACCCTAAACCCTAAACCTTAAACCCTAAACCCTAACCCTAAACCCTAAACCCTAAATCCTAAACCCACTCATAACCCCCCAACAAAAGACGCAGCTGCTGCTCCAGAGGTGGTCGATCATCGCCATGTCCTGGCGGGAAGGAATCTGGGGATTCCGGAGTTCCTCACCTCCGTAGGGTTTAGGGTTTAAGTTCAGGGTTTAGGGTTTAGGGTTTAGGGGGAGTTTCCGAAAATTAGGGTACCCATGTTGGGGGTTCCTATCAAAAGGATTATAGCACTTGGGAGTATATTCGGGGTACTTCGGGGTACCCCTTATTTGGGATACACTATATCAAATGACGGCCCAAATTTGGGATCCCCCTAGTACTGAGGGCCCCTGGTTCCAACCTTTGTTGAGGACTACGGGTTTCAGGGGGGGGAAGGGGCTTGGGAGCTTCCGGAACCCTAAACCCTAAACCCTAAACCCTCAACCCGCAACCCTGACCCCTAAACCCTAAACCCTAGACCCAAAACCCAAAACCCTAAATCCTAAACCCTAAACCCTAAACCCAAAACCCAAAACCCTAAACCCAAAACCCAACCCTCTGCGCCTTGATCTGGTCGTTGGCCGCGCGGGCGTGGGCGCTGCCGATCCGAAAGGCCTCTTCACGCTAGGCGTAGGGTTTAGGGCTTTAGGGTTTTAGGGTTTAGGGTTTAGGGTTCACGGTTTAGGGTGTTAGGGCTTTAGGGTGTAGGGTTTCGGGTGTTAGGGTTTCATTGAAGGCGAAGGTTTAGAGGGCGTGGGGTTGGAGAATTCAGGGTCGATGCTGTTAGGGTTTTACAGAGGCTCTGGATTCAGAGCTCGGTTACGAGGCGAAAGCATAAAGTGAGCACAGTCACTTGAATTGTAAGGACAGAAGGACGGATGAAATAACCTGATTGTGTTAGGACTTGGGGCAGCGCCAAGCCCCAGACCCCAAACCCTAAACCCTAAACACCCTAAGCCCTAAACCCCCTAAACCCTAAACCCTCAACCCTAAACCCTAAAACCTAAACACTGCAGAGGCCCTTCGGCCCAGCTTTTCAGAACGAGATCTCGGGCCTCCTCCACCTGCACACGCTGAGCTGTTCGGCCTCATCTTGGCCCAGATGCGTAGGGTTTAGGGTTTAGGGTTTAGGGTTTAGGGTTTAGGGTTTAGGGTTTAGGGTTTAGGGTTTAGGGTTTAGGGTTTAGGGTTTAGGGTTTGGGATTTAGGGTGTAGGTATGGTGCCAAAGAACACGCGGGGGTTTGCTTAGGAGGGGCGCGGGCGCCATGAGTTCTTCTACATGGTTTAGGGTGCCATATACATGTACTATAGGGGGTTGCGAAAATAGGGGACCCCTAGTTTTAAGACCTTCAACTAGTAGGATCCCCTGATAATCAGCACCCCATTAAGGGACCCCCCCCCCCCCCCCCCAAAATATCGCAAACCCCCAATTTCTATTTGGGTTGAGTTCGAACCATGTTCAGGCTAAATTTGCCTCTTGGGGAGGTTCAAGAGCATACTTTTGCGAGGGGGGGAGGTGGGGAGGAGGGGCTTTTTAGGCCCAATAATCCCCACAATCAGCCCCTTAGAGGCCCTTTTTAAGGGGCTTTACATGCGCAAATCCCCCCCCCCCCCTGTAAGCCCGCGGAATGCTTGCTAGCAAGAGTCGGCTGATCTCCTCGATTCGCTTCTTCATCTGCTTCTCCACAAGATCCAGCTCCTGAGCCAAGGGTTCTTTGCTTCCCTCAGGATCCCCGTACCTATATAACCTAGATAGTGTATGCTTGGCCTCTAAACTCAGACCCCTGGGAGGATCAAAAAGTAGAACCCGCAAATAGCACCGTTTACTACTCTTGGGTCATTCTTAGAAACCCTTAAGGGGATCTACCTTTTGGATCCTCCCAGGGGTCTGGGAAGCTACTATATAGGAACCCCTTGTGAGGCCCAAGAATAAACTATACATGGATCCCCAGGTTCGGATGTAGGGCTTAAGGGTGTATGGGTTGAGGGGCCTATGCGGGCCTCATATAGGGGCATTAATAACTAGAATAGGGTGTTGGGGGCTATTAGAGTATATTGATAAGGGAAATTACGGGGATACTACTAGTACTTATTCCCTATGTTCGAAAGGTTTATGGATGCTTCGCACTCCTTTAGCTGCGGGCCGAGGGTTTGGACGGCTTGGGGGGAGGGGGGTCGGTTAGGGAGTCATGGAGCTTTACGGTTCAGGGTACAAAAATGAGGGGTGAACCTCCGGTTTTAGAGTTTAGGGTTTCGGGCTTAGGGCTTAGGGCTTCGGGGTGAACATGCCTATGGTGCAAGGATCCCAAGAAAGGACAGTACAGTTGAGGGTTAAGTGTTAAGGGTTTAGGGTTTACGGTTTAGGGTTAGGGTTTAGGGTTCGTCCATTCCTGAAGCCTTATTAAACTCAGCAAAAACGACCTGGAAAGCCAATTGCCACACCCCAGCTCCCTCCTTCTCCGCATCACCAGTCAGTTGGCTGATGACCGCATCCTGCACTTGAACTTGCGCTGGGTTTCGGGCTTATAAGGTTTCCAGGGTCTACAGGGTCTACAGGGTCTATATGGTTTATAGGGTTTATAAGGTTTATAGGGTGCCATTAGGAATTCGGGTTTTGAAAAGTCTGGATATTGAGGGGTTGCGGGTTGGCCCCAGCACCTTTTTCGGGCGGACGTACGCACTCTCCATCAAATGCCCCCATGGACATCTTCATATCCTAGAATGGGCATGACGGATACAACCAATGCCCCCACCCCCCCCCCCCCCCCCCCCCCGCCCACACCTGTTCAACCAAGCTCTGAACCCCTAAACCCTTCGGTGGTTTTGTGGTTTATGGAGTCGTAGGGCTAAAGCACTAAAGCCCCAAAACATTGAACCCTAAAGGCTAAAAGCCTGAATGGCCGGGTGTCCAGGAAAAGCCGGCCGAGGAAGCCAAAGGGAAGCGGGATGAAAGGTGTGGCCACGATTAGGGCGAACTTCCTGGGTGGCTGAAGGGTTCAGGGCTTAGGGTTTTGAGGGCTTTAGGGCTGGAGGGGCTTCAGGGCTCTAGTCAGGAGGAGTTCGCGGGGCCCCGCATCCGGGGCCCAATCATTTCTCTGTCTCGAGGGTAATTACCACTCGGAACCACTCTAAATCGCCGCAAAACTGGCTAAACCTACCTAACTTGCTTTACATTAAGTCGCTGTAAATCACTTTCTATCACTTTATATCGCTCCAAAGTGCCTGCCCGGGGCGAGACTGCATGTTTTCATCATTAACAGACAAATTTTCCCGTGCTTCACTGGCTTTCAGTTGGCAGGGCTTGAGCTTCCAGCTAAGAACTTCGTCGATGACAACCAAAGCCAGCCTCGATGTGCAGAATCTACACAAGGTGGCACTGCAATTGAAAAGGTAGGGGCCCAGGGTTTAGGACTTAGGGTTGGGGATGTTCCCCCTTATACTAGCAGTCCTTCATAGGGATCAGCACAAGGGGTACTGTAATCCCTGTTAAGGACTGTTAGCGTAAGGGGAACATTCCAAGACTTACGGTTTGAGAACTAAGTAGCCTTCTGAATGTCGCATTCACACGGACGCAAGGCAACTTAGGACTGCCCAGAGACTCCTAAACATCCCGTAAACTGTTAGGGTTCCGAACCCTAAACCCGAAACCCTAAACCCTAAACCCTTATTCCTTAATTAAACGGTTTTAGAGTCTCTGGGTGCTTGCCATACTGCGAAACCCGCAAAACGCGCAGAGCATGTCCAAGCGTCGCCGACCACACCGTGAAGCGCGCCTTGGGGTTTTTGGGTTTCGGGTTTAGGGTCTATACACCTCTTACATTGGGTCCCCTTAATATGAAATGGGAATGAAGCGAATCCGCATGGGGATAAACAACAATCTAAACACACTTAACGTAGTAACTTGGGGACACTCGGGTTTTCTACACAAAAAAGAAAGGTAGACCCAAGAGTAACCTAGGAATACCAGAGGGTGCCCTTTTTGGTTTGAAGGGGCTTTATAAGGGAAGCTGAACCTTCCGAAAGAGAACTTGAGCCTACTCCGGGTCCCAGTAGCCCTAAACCCTAAACCCTAAACCCTAAACCCTAAACCCAAGACCCTTACATGGCTGGGGCCGGGTTTGGGGTTCAGGAAGTCCTGGAGCTCCAGCGAACGTCAAGGGACTGACCCGTTGTAAGGGGTTTAGGGTTTAGGGTTTGGGGTTTAGGGTTTAGGGTTTGGGGTTTAGGGTGGTTCTTTAGAACAGGGTTTAGTTTTTAGGGTTTTAGGGTTTAGGGTTTGGGGTTTAGGGTGGTTCTTTAGAACAGGGTTTAGTTTTTAGGGTTTAGGGCTTAGGGTTTGGGGTTTAGGGTGGTTCTTTAGAACAGGGTTTAGTTTTTAGGGTTTAGGGTTTGGGGTTTAGGGTGGTTCGTTTAGAACCCCCCTTGCACCTCCCTTACACCACCCCTAGCACAGCTGTCTTGCTTGCTCAAAACGCTCAATTTACCTAAACCTCCTTCCTCTTGATGGCAACCCGGCAGCTGCGGCCGTCGAAACCAAGCATGGCCAACATCTCGCGCGCCGACGAAACTTCCCCCAGTTGTAGTCGAAGATGTTCGAGGACGTGCATAGCGTCCCCCAGGTGCCGCTCAGAGCAATGTGTCCTCTGTGTGCGGATTGGGAGATCTCCGCTGCCCTCGTCATGATATTGGCCGCCACTTCACGCTGGGTGAGGCCGCTGAGAAGAAACACCCGTTCCAAGCTCTGAGGCGATAGGTCTCCATGCGTTGGAGCGAGGTTCTCTTTCACCGGAGGTGGGGGTGTTAATGTTTTTAAGTTTAAGATTGACAGTGTTTAGGGTTTAGGGGTTGGGGTTAGGATTTAAGGGTGGGGGGGCGGGTGGAGGAAGAAGAGGCGGGGGAATGGAGCGGGGAGCACTGCAAGCACTTGCCCCTTACACGCCCTTAAAGCCCCCTTACACCCCCCTGACACGCCCCCGAAACCCACCTTAGAACCCCCCCCCCTCGCACCTCCCTTACACCCCCTTTACACAACTCTACACCCCCCTTATACCCTTACACCCCTAGCACAGCTCTCTTGATTGCTCAAAACGCTCAATTTACCTAAACTTCCTCGCTTGCCAGAAGCGCAAGACCCAGGAATCGTGCCACAATTGTTTCTTACACCCCCCTCAGAGTGCCCCTTACACCCCCCCAAGAGGCCCCAAGAGCCACCCAGGCTTCAAAAAAACCCTTAAAAGAAGCGCACAAGAAGCGGACCCCAGGATGGGTCCGTACCCACAATGAAAGATGCGATTTTTGAGTACTGAAATCGATGGTTTTGGGCAACCCTCCATTTTACCCCCAGAAGGGCCAGGAAAGCCCCAAGAAGCCGCCCAAGACACTCAAAATTCTTCGGCCCTCTCAGCTTTCAACCCCCAGAAAGCCCCAAAACCCTCGAAACCCTAGACCTGAAAACCTGGTTAGGGTTTAGGTTTTTTTTTAGGGTTGATAGGGTGTGCGGTTTAGGGTATAGGGTTATAAATCCCCGAAGCCCCATAGAGTCCATAAAACCCCCCATGTTGGTTTAGGGTTTAGGGTTTAGGGTTTAGGGTTTAGGGTTTAGGGTTTAGGGTTTAGGGTTTAGGGTTTAGGGTTTAGGGTTTAGGGTTTAGGGTTTAGGGTCATCAATCCCCATGCCCCAGAAGCCCATAAAACCCCCTACGTTTTTCGGCCCAAGCACCACAGCCGCAATCTTCCCAATAAGCGTCTGGTTCGGATCGTCGAGGCTCATCATGGCACCTTCGATTTCGAGGCGTTTCGGGGCTGTAGAGTTCAGGGGTTTTCGGGGGTTTAGGGGGATTTAGGGGATTTAGGGGGTTTAGGGTTGAGGCGTTTGGGGGGGTTGGGGGGTTTCGGGGTTTAGGAGTTGGACGATGCAGCAGGATTTCTTTAGTTGATCTTGCTGGTAGTGAGCGTGTACGAGATGCTGTATATATCATACCCAAGAACAGTGATGCTGGGTTTGATTCGAATGCCTTAAATGAGTTTAGGGTTTAGGAGGGTAGGGATTTACGTCTTGGGGGTTGGGTGGGGGGGTATGGCTTCGGAGCTTTGGGGTTTAGGGGCTTAGGGGGGTTTTGCGTGAGTTTGAGAGTTCAAGGGTTTAGACGTTTAGGGGTCTAGGGCCTTACGGCTAACCCGAAACCCGTAAACACAAACCCAAACCCCAAACCCTGAACCCGAGACCGTAATGCCCTGAGCTGTCCTGCGATATGATGGGTGGGGCTTAGGCATTAAGGGACTTGTCGGGTTTCTGGTTTAGGGTTTAGGGTTTGGGGTTTAGGATTTGGGGTTTAAGGTTTGTGGTTTAGGGCTACTGATGCATTGACAAAGCGGCCGATGGTGCTGGACGCCGCTTCGTCACAAGCCAGCCGCTCCGAGTAGTGAGTTGACCAATCCTTGTTCTAGGGTTTAGGGTTTAGGGTTTGGGGTTTAAGTTTAGGGTTTGGGGTTTAGGGTTGAGGGTTGAGAGTTGAGGGTTGAGGGTTGAGGGTTTAGGGTTTAGGGTGGGGTTTTGGGTTTGGGGTTTAGGGTTTCGGGTTTGGGGTTTAGGGTTTTAGGGTATCAGGGAGAGCCCGACTAACTCGGGCCATGGTTTGCTGGTTGCGTTTAGGGCATGTAGGGTATTCAGCGAGTTTGGGGATTTTAGGGTTATTCTGTCGTGTTACGATTTGTGACAACTGTTCTTACTTCGACTTCTTCATGTAGCTTTGGTAGTGAGTCCTATAGGTATACAGGGTGCATCAGGGGCCCACACTGGTAGTGGACAAAAAAGCCCTTAGGGGTCCATGCACCTACATAGTCTACACCTGGGCCTTCAAGGCGTCACCATACAGTAGCCTCAGGGCCCAAGTATATAAAATATAGGTACATGGACCCTAGCCGTAAAGCCTAAACCCTAAACCCTCAACCCTAAGCCCTAGTTAGGTTGTATAGAATATAGGTACATGGAGTAGGGTTCTTATTTCTTGTATCCCCAAAAGGACACCAAGTACATACACTCACCAATATTAAAAGGAACCTTATATACACTCACCAAGAACAGAAATATATACCCTGCTTCACATGGACCCTTAGGGTAACGCAAGAGCCAGGTCTCTTTGTCAACGGTGGTCTCAGCGGCGGAACAGAGCCACAGGGCCACATCCTGCAAAGAGCAGCTGTCTACATCACTGGCTTTTCTTAGGGAGTATAAGGGAATTCGACACCCCATATAAATCCTTTAAAAGGCTTCAAGGGGTATTCAGGGGGGATATAGTGGTACCTAATTACCGTTTTTCCCAACCACCTTTCCGCCCCCCCCCCCCCCCGCCACACCCTAAACCCTAAACCCTAAACCCTAAACCCTAAGCCCTAAACCCTAAAAACCATCATTCTCCAGGTTTCGCACATCAGGCTTTGGGGTGCAGGGTCCCAAGGGTCCATGTACCTATTTCGGCTTTAGGGTTTAGGGCTAGGGTTTATGTGCCTGTAATAGGTTTAGGGTTTAGGGTTTAGGGTTTAAATGGGGGATTAGGGTTTCGGCTTTAGGGTTTAGGGCTAGGGTTTATGTGCCTATGTTAGTATATGTTTGGGCCCTAATGCTTCTGCACAGGAACCCCGGAAGGCCCAGGTATCTACTAGATAAGGTTACGGGTTTTTGGGTTTTGGGTTTAGGGTTTAGGGTTTAGGGTTTAGGGTTTAGGGTTTAGGGTTTGGGGATCCGGTGGGTTACGGGTTTTGGGACTTCGGGTGGGGGTCTCCGGGCTTGGGGCTGAGGGTTTAGAGATTAGGGTTTGGGGTTTGGGGTTTGGGGTTTAGGGTTTATCTGTTCTTCAGAAGTTCTGGGTAACTTTTTCTACTGTAGGGTTTAGGGCACCCGGCAAAACCCAAAAGTCACCTTGGATTTCTTCTGCAGCTTCTCAAACATGAGGGCCAACCTCGGCAGGGAGGAATTGTTTATTTGGAGTCCCCGAATTAAGGACGTCGGTTTCAGGTACTGGGAAGATCATGTCCTCCTCCTCGCTTTCCCTGGAGATTTCGGGCAGGGTTTAGGCTAAAGAGGTTTCGGTTCAGGGTTTAGGGTTTAGGGTTTGGGGTTTTTAAGTTTGGGGTTTCACCCCCAGGGCCTCAACCTGCAAAGTAGGGAATTAGGTATCCCTTCAGTAATCCCTTGTTTTTAAACTCACAGGGGTTGCAAAGGAGACCGTAAGAAAAGTACCTCATCCCCTTTTCTGTCTCTCTAGGACTGTAGACTCAGAGCCCTAAACCCTAAACCCGAAGCCCTTGCCCTATACGACCGTTGTCACACAGCGAAATACCAACCCCCTAGGCCCGAGATGGAACAACTCGTTCATCTGAACATGGATGAACCCAACCCTCTGAGTTCGAACTCTCAGGGGGTTCAGCCCTCAACACTAAACCCCTGCACCCTAAACCCAAGGTCCAAGATTTGATTGAGTTCCTGGTGGGAAGGGGGGGGGGGGGGGGCAAGTACCCAGAACTGGGGTTTCACAGCAAGGTAAGAGCCCTGAAAGGGTGCCCATGACGAGTTGCTTTCATTCTGATTTAAGTGAGGGCGAACCTTCGGGTTTAGGGTTTGGGGTATTTCGCGGGAGTAAACTTTCTTGTTCAGAAACAAATGTTAAGGGTACGCCCAGCAGTTGAAGGCTTACGTGGTAGCCCCTTCAACCCGAAAAAACGAGCAAGCAATCCCTTCCCCCCCCTGACATTGACCCCCCCTAGGCACCCCTTACCCCTAATGTTAAATACCCCCCCCCCCCCCCCCCATTTTGTCTGATGATAAATATGTGGCGGGAACTTAATATTAAAAACAAGGGGGTCAATATTTGGGGGAAGGGAGTAGACTTCTCACCCGGGTCTTCAACAAGCCCGACAGAGGCGCGGGCAACTCTTTGTCGGCTTCCTAAACCCTAAACCCTAAACCCTAAACCTACTTGGAGTCCCAAAAGGGAGGTTCGAGTCTTCCCCCCAAGCCCCTGAACGCCCCTGAGCCCACAAGTGCCAAGAAGCATGGACCTGGGCTGTGTCTGCATGCACAGCTGTCGCACGTCTTCCGCGAGATTGTCCTGGAGGGCTTAATTGGATGAAGGCTTAGGGGGGTTTAGGGTTTAGGGTTTAGGGTTTAGGGTTTAGGGTTTAGGGTTTAGGGTTTAGGGTTTAGGGTTTAGGGTTTAGGGTTTAGGGTTTAGGGTTTAGGGTTTAGGGAACCCTAAATACTGAGAGTGTAAGAAGCTGACTGGCGGTTGTCTTCTGTTCTCGAAGAGACCCCTAAGGTTGTAACCTTGGGCTTGGAGACCCTTGTTAAGCCCTAAGACGTAAACTTGTTAATCTTGTTAATTAAACCCACTTTGAAAACCCGAAGCCCTAGACTCTAAATCTGAAAACTTTTTGACCCTAAACCCCTAAACCCCAAACCTTTTTGAACCCTAAACCCTAAACAACCCTAAACCCTAAACCCTAAACCGTAAACCCTAATCCCCCAAAACCATCGGCAGACTCGGGGGCCCTGAGAGCCGGAAACGGCCTCAGAGGGTTCAGGGCTCAGGGCTTCGGGTTTATGGGGTTTATCGGGCTTCTGGGATTTATAGGGTTTCTAGGGTTTATAGGGTTTATAGGGTTTGTAGGGTTTGTAGGGTTTGTAGGGATTTTGGGGTGTTTCGGGTGACTATAAGGTTTATAGGGTTTATAGGGTGTAGGGCTTTGGGTAAGCCTCACTGGGTTTAGGGCTTGGGTCGTTTGGGTTTTGAGTTGAGGGTTTGGGGCGCAGAAATTGGCCATGGGGTTCGGCGCCCGAATCCCAAAAGGCTGCAACTCTAGACCCTAAACCCTAAACCCTGAACCCTAAACCCCAAACTCCCCTCGCGCTTCACAGTCCTCCCCCTCGTTGCTGCAGCGATCCTCCCAAGGGTGGTGGTCTCAACAGGGTTCCCCCCAACCTACCCCCGAAAAGGTTTTGGGGGTGCGAACACTCAGGTGGTGGTTCAGGGTTCACGGTTTACGGTTTAGGGCTTAGGGCAATTCTTGTGGGTGAAGGGCTTAGGGCTCTTTTGGGGGTGTGGGGGTTTGGGGTTTCGGGTTTGGGTCCCCCTTTAGGGGCTTTAGGTTTCCCTCAAGCATTAGACATCCCCAGTCAACCTCCAAACCTGCACTGAACCCCCCAAAACGAACCCGAACCCAACACCCGAGTTCTCACTGCGCAAAATCTTGCGTTGAAAGCCTGCCAAAAGCCCTGAGCCCGGAACTAGCTCCTCTCAAAAACCTTGAGGAAGTTCACGCTCACGAAACCGGCAACCCTAAACTCGGGAGTAAGATAAACCGCTCCAAGGCCACGCCACCCAAAGCCCAATTCCAAAACCCAAAACAACCACCTCCGCCCCCCCCCCCCCCCCCCCCCCCCCCCGCCCCTCCCACCCCCGCAGCCTAAACCCGAACCCTAAACCCTAGCCCTAAACCCTGAACCCTAAACCCCAAATCCCTAAACCCCAAATCCCTAAACCCGAAATCCCTAAAGCTCCCAAAGAGAGACATGCCTTGGTGCTGTCGAACATCGCCTTCAGGGATGCCAAGGCACGACGGTTTGGGGGCTTAAGGTTGTCGGGTCAGGGTCGACTGGGCACCCTAAACCCTAAACCCTAAACCCTAAACCCTAAACCCTAAACCCTAAATCGCTGTTGGGCCCTGAAGGCGCATGCTGAAGCCCTAGAAGCCCTGAAGCCCTGTACCCCTTGACCCGAGATGTAGGCTTGACTGGGTGAACCAACGAAGGCACCATGTGCTTAAGTGCTGGTGAACAGAACCGGCGTGTGTGTGTGTGTGTGTGTGTGTGTGTGAACCCTAAACCCTAAACCCTAAACCCTAAACCCTAAACCCTAAACCCTAAACCCTAAACCCTATAATCGAGAGAGCGAGACCGAGGCAGAGAGAGAGAGAGAAGCAAAACGTGAGAACAACGAGAGAGAAATGGAGAGAGAGAGAGAGAGGAAGAGAGAGCAGATACCATCGATGTCAACCAGCGCTTCTCCCTCTAGCAGCCCCCTTGCCACCCAACCACCCCAAGATGATGAAGATGATGATGATGCATGATGATGATGAAAGGAGCCACACAGTACCCAAGCTCCAAGCCTACCGACAGGGTTCGGTTGTCAGGCAATGATTACGGCAGTGGCAACCCCAAACCCTACTTAGCATGGTGGTTTGGTACGGAATTCCATCGGACTGCTCTAAGTGCACCTTCTGTATCAGAGAAAAATCAGCTCTACCGCCTGTGAACCAAAGACCCGAAATGGATATGGGGGTTGGGTTTGGGGATAGGTTGAAGTATAACTGTTATGGGCCGGTTCTGGTTCTGGTACCCTAAGCTCTGAGGGGTATACTAACATAGAGACCCAAACGGCACCGCAAGCCAGATGCAGGTTTAGTTCAGGGCGTTGACGCGCCGCTCCGGGCTTAGGGTTTAGGGTTTAGGATCGCGCAAGCTGGCAGGGTGCAGCATCCTCGGCACAGGTCCTTCTTTGCATGTCCAGAAACACCGCGTCGGCTGCAGACCCTTCATGAACCAAGCCAGTGAAAGAAGGCTGGGTAGACTGCAGACTTGTCTCGTCCATGTTGATCAAAACTACACGCTTCTGCGTCGTGTCAAGTGCCCGCACCTTTGCCAAAACAGCTGCACCTGCAAACCAAAAAAGGCAGCCGAACGAACCCAAATCTGGGAAAAAACACACGAGTCACATTTGGGTGCGGGCTTGCACCAGGAAAGACTGATTGAATGTTCTTCGAAGCCAAGTGTGGTCTCGGGTTTGGGCCCGGTGGGGATCTGGATGTCAGTGTCGACAGGAAGCATGACAAAGGACACTTTTGCGGGAGCTTGGGACAGTGAAGCCTTCTGCTTGACGTCCTCTACCCCTCAGTCCCAAGCCCTCGGCCCTGAATTCCGAAACCCTAAACTCCGAACCCTAAACTCCGAAACCCCTAGCCCTAACGGGCTTCAGTATGGGCCCAAAACCTACAAGGGCTTCTACAAACACGGTTTTCCAGAATCCCCCTTATAGGGGGCCCATAAACCCCAACAGTAGGATCCTCATGTTTACATGTGGCTTTTGGGCCCCTAGTACAAGGGGGGGGGGGGGGGGGGGGGGGCCGTCACCTGTATGGCGTCGTTGTTGACGGCCACGGCCTTTTCGAGCTCCGCCTTGGGCTAGGCTCCCCAACAACATTGGGAAACATGAGGGAGCTTTGGGTTTAGGGTCTAGGGCTTAGGGTTTAGGGCTAGCAGGGAGTATGGTGGTGCTAGGTCCCGTTCGTAAGGTATCCAAGGAATGAAAAGGGTACTCCTCCAAGAGCCCAAAACCCCTGAACCGTCAAACCCCAAGAGCCCTAATCCCGGAAACCCTGAAACCCAGGGAACCTGACACCGGGAAGAAAGCCGCTTTGGGTGCCGACATGAATAAAGCAAGCCTGTTTTCCGAAAGGATGAGATTTAATAAGCCACACATTGCAAAACCTTAAGCTCTAAACCCTAAACCCTAAACCCTGAACCCTAAGCCCTGAGCCCTAAGCCCTGAAACAACCTAAACCCCGGAGACCACCACGGGCATCATTGGCGGTAAGACGTGGAGCTGCGAGGCGTCAGTGCCAGCCCAGTCCGACGTAGCCAGCATGTGACAGCCACTGTCCGGGGGGCCGGTGGTGGCCGCCCTTGGACATGGCCGGTTATTGTTCCGAAACGGTGCGGGAAATGACGGAGAGAGGTCATCAAGATACGACAAAGTAATGAGTCCTCCATGCAATCGATAGCCCAGCAGGGCTGTCGCTCGAAGATGGAAGCATATGAGGCTCTTGAATCTCATTGGACTCAGAACCTCCCCTTGCCACTCTAAGCAAAGGAAACCCCAAACGGTAAGACAGCCAGGCTATCAGGGGTTGGGGTCTCTTGGGGTTGAAGGTGCTATAGGGATTTAGGGTAACCCTAAACCCTAAACCCAAACCCTACGCGAAGTTATTCAGGGTGTAAGGTCTGGGCTGAGGGTTATCAACCCTACACTCTGAAATCTTGCACCCACTCTGAACACCCTAAACCCTAAACGCTAAACCCTAAACCCTAAACCCTAAACCGAGGTAGCATGGCTTTGGAGGGAGCACTTGCTTCCTGGATCTGGAGCTTCTTAAGTTCCGGGTTTAGGGTTTAGGGTTTAGGGTTTAGGGTTTAGGGTTGCACCCCTAAAGCAGGCCAAGGTTGTCGGGTTCTAGGCCTGGGTCTACCCAAAGCCCCAAAATTCGAATCCCTCATTTTTGGGGTTTAGGGTTTAGGGTGTTTAGGGTGTTTAGGGTTTTTAGGGTTTGTTGTACAGGGTTTAGAGTTTGAGCAGCTACTGCGGACGAAAGGCTTCTGTCTGGTCCTTGGGTGGGGGAGGCGAAGGCGTCCGGAGCTTGATCCTGCCACCAAAGCCAGAACAATGACCCTAGCACAAAAACCCTAAACCCTGAAACCCAGAACCCTAAATAAACCCCGGACCTCAAACCCTGAACCCAACAACTGTAAGACTTGGTACTTCGGCGAACAGTCGTGGTCCGCTCACCCAGACCCCCTGACATTTTCCTGTGGAATGTAGGCAAGAGTTGTAGCTCTGGCTGCAGTGCAGAAGTTCGCCATCTACTGCACGCGTTATGTTCAAGTTCTGTAAAACGGGACAAATGGCACGGCAGTTTCAGGTCTAGAGTGTAGTAAAGGATTGAGGTTTCGCTTTTATCGGGTTGCCCTAAATCCTCATTCCAGGGTAGGCCCATGTGCAAGGCTTCTTTCAGGCAACCTTGGGTACGTAAAGGGGTTTAAGGTTGAGACAGGGGGTACAAGAAGCCTCGGGCTTGCGTTTACGGACCCGGTGGTGCTCGCCGGCCTACTTCTTCCGCCATAGCTGTTGCGGGCTCCCTCGGCCACGGAAAGACCTGCATGCAAGGGACCAAAAAAGCGAAATCTGTGGGCTTTGGGGGTCCTGCACACCGCTTCAAGCATACTCAAAGTGGTGACCCCCCCTTCTTCAACAGCATCTTGAACAGTGGCTTAGGGTTTAGGCAGCAGGTTCAGGAGCTTAGGGTTTGCGGGTATTGGTCGAGCAACACCGACCTTAAATCGCTGCGCCATGCTACCAATGTTAATACGGTGTTCGGGATACGAGTAGCGGTTCAGGGTTTAGTTAGGGTTTAGGGTTTATGGTTTAGGGTTGCGTTTAGACCAGCACTCAGTCCGGAAGCGGTGCAAAATGTTCCAACAGCCCCTTCGTCGAAAATTCGGAACACACCTGCCAGTTGATAGGGGAGGAAAGTGCTTGCACCTGTTCCTGTAACTGTTTAGGGCGTTACTAAGGCTTGTTTCCCTTAGAACACAAGCATTTGATGTTTGACGCCCAAACCGCAACCACCAACCCCTAAAGCCCGAAACCCTAAAGCCCGAAACCCTGAACCCCGACACCCAAACCCCAAACCCTGAACCCCAAATCCCATACCCCAAACCCCCAAACCGTAAAGCCCAAACCCCAAAACCCCCAAGAAAACCCCCAACCCCCCCAAAACAACCCACCAAAGCCCCAAAACCCCCCAAACCAACCCACCAAAGCCCCGCAAACCCCCCAACAGAAAACACAAAAACCCACAAGAAAACCCCCAAAACCAACCCACCAAAGCCCCCCACACAACCCCCCTAAAAGCACCAAACGCCCAAACCATCATGCTCTAAAAACTAAACCCTAACCCTAAAACCTAAAACCTTGACCGCCTAAACCCTAAACCCCCCCTATGCTGTCCAAGCCGCTGAGAGCTGCAATGATGAGCCACCATCTCCTGTCAGTGTTGAGAACTTTTGGCTTCAGCGAGATAGGGAGAAGGCCTTTAGATTTAGGGTTTAGGGTTTAGGGTTAGGGTTCTTTAGGGTTCTTTCGGGTTCTTTAGTGTTCTTGAAGGTGTGGGAGTGTAGGATTTCAGTGTCTTAGGTAAGATAGGGTTTAGAGAATTAAGGTAACAGAGTTTGGGTTTCTAGATATGCAATTTGCCCTGCAGACGACCCGTGCGAGCGGCGCGCAAAGATCTCTAGCGGAGACTTTGGACAAATAGGGCTTTCGGGTTGTTAGGGTTTAGCGCCTACAAAGCTCATAAAAGGCCTACACAACCCGTTGAAGGGCTACCGGGCTACCGGGCTACCCCTAAACCCTAAACCCTAGACACTAAACCCTAAACCCTAAAAAACTTTCACCCCTCAACCCTCAAACCCCTAACTCCACCCAAGGACCTAAAGACAGAACGAAGACGGAGAAGTGTTTGAATCAGCTTGGAGCTGCCAATGAACCTCCACCGACACGCCTGACACACCCGAAGCTCTACACTAACTCAACCCAAAAAACCTAAAGCCAAACTAAGCCCTATACCCTAAACCCTAACCCTAAACCCTAAACCCTAAACCCTAAACCCTAAACCCTAAACCCTAAACCCTAAACCCTAATTCAACCCTAGACCTCTAAACTCTGAAGTCTTTTGAAGCCCTGCGCCATGCCTTGGTGGCATCGAGGCCCCAGGCTCCCGTCGCCGCGTCGCTGAACATGCGCCAGGGCGCGGGCAGCGCCGGCAATATGAAGGGCTTAGGGTTTGGGGCTTAGGGTTTAGTGAGGGTTTAGGGGGGGCTAAGGGTTTAAGACTTAGGGTTTTGGGTTTGGGGCTTAGGGTTTAGGGGGGCTTAGGGTTTAAGATTTAGGGTTCCCCTAAACCCCCTAAAAAAAAGCCCTGAACCCTATAGAAGCCTTGCTTGCCCTCAGCGCCCGAAAGATGGCCTGCAGCCTACACCTCTCCTGGCGCCCACATCCGCAGCCCACGAACTCTGATTCGCCAGACGAACGCAAAGCTTGAGCCGGATTTGCAGCACGCCGCGGGCTTGGGCTTTAGGAGTTTTTTGAGGGGTGCTTTGGGTTTCGGGTGTTTGGGGGGCATTTTGGGGGTGTTTAGGGGTTGCAGGTGATTTGTTCATTATTGTGCTCGATTTTGGATTACATTTATTCTTCTGAGGGGGGGGGGGGGAGGATGCGTAGGCTTTGGGGCTTTCGGGGCTTATAGGTTCAGTTTCAGGGCTTAGGGTTTGCGGTCTTAGGCTTCTCACAAGGCCTCAAGATATTTTTAGGGCACCCTACGTCCCCAAAGCAACCCAGATTCAGAGGCTGTGACCTTTAGGGTTCAGGAATTGAAACCCCTAAACCCTAGACCCCGAAAACCCCGAAAACCCCGAAAACCCCGAAAACCCCGAAAACCCCGAAACCCCGAAACCCCGAAACCCTGAACCGAAACCCTAAACCCTAAACCCTGAACCCTAAACCCTAAACCCTCAGGCAATTTAGGGCTTAGGATTCGGGGCAGCAGGCGCTGATAGGCCTGAAGGCTTCAGATTCAAGGCTGAGGGATACTTAACCATGGCCTTGGGGTGTAGGGTTTAGGGTTTAGGGTTTAGGGTTTAGGGTTTAGGGTTAGGGCTTCGCGAAATGTGCTTGATGAGCACTCCAAATGATATACCTCTTTGGGGTTTTGCTTCGTGAAGTCTTGAGACCAGGTAGCCCCCCTAATGTCCTAGAGCCGTCAGGCCCCGAATCCTGCTCACCCGCTAGGCTGGCCGCTTGCTCGCAGGCGGCAGCGACGCCTTCCGGCGGGCCTGAAATCGTTTAGGGTTTAGGGTTTGGGGTTTGGGGTTTATAAGGTTCATTTAGGGTTCAAAGACGCAGAAGCACTGAAGACACCATAAGCTCTTAAAGACCTAAAACACTCAAAACAAAAACGTCTCTGGGAGATCAAAACAACTCCTTATCCCTAAAATCCTGCCCTTTAAGCCCTACAAACCCTAAAACCTAAACCCTACACTTACTTCTCCAGACCCCCATGGCCACACACCGGAGAAACCCTGCTGAAACCAGCGTATCAGGGCTTGGGATATCAGGGCTTGGGGTTTATAGGGTTTAGGGTTTAAGGCTCCGGGTTTAACCCCTAACTCCATCCATAGTTAACCTGAAGCCCTAGACCCTAAAACACCTCCAAAATCCTTCAACACTATGGGTTCAGGGTTTAGGGTTTAGGGTTTCGGGTTTAGGGGTCAGGGGTTCGGGTCGCCTTTGATGTACATCTTCCGGACTGGCTCGTCTACGCTGGTGTCATCGAGATTTGCCTGGGTGCCACCATGAGAAGGTTAGGGTCCCTGAGCCCTAAACTCTAAAAGGCTGCCCCCCCAGAACGTTCCCTGCTACTTAGGGTCATGAGCCATGGACCCGAAAAAGGGTTGTATCCCCAGAGGTTTCCCTACTACTGTATGTTAAGTCCTGGCCTCTTCCTTTGTTAGCAGGTTTGACGGTTTAGGGTTTCGGGAAGGGGGTGGGGCTTCATGAATCTTAGCCTGTTGATTGAATGCCCTAAACTCCCGCAACCCCAAAACCCGAACCCCAAACCCTGTAGAAAACCCCTAAGTCTGAACCCCTACACCCCTAAACCCTAAACCCTGTAACCTTGCCGTGGTCAGGAGCGTCAGAAATAGGAGCATATCTAGGAGATTTTTGTATCTACTTGATGTGGGCTAAGGCTTAGGGTTCAGGGTTCATGCGCCCCTAGTGGTGGAGGACTTCGATCGAAGGCTGATTTAACA